ACAGATTCACACAATGCATCCCTTACACACAACCAGAAACACACAATACATCCCTTATACACAAACACACACTGCTTCCACTACACACAAACACACTGCATCACCTACACAAACTGGTATCCCTATACACTACATTCCATAAGCACACACATTAGATCCTCTACAATAACACATAACACATCCCCTACACACTCTACTCCCTGTGAGCGAACTCATGGGTGGAACATATAGGTGGACTTATGGGTGGGCCTTACGGGCATACTCACCATCAGGCCCTGGGGCCCAGACCTTGAGCTGTGTAAGGGGCCCCAAAAAATGGAGCTGCTTCCAGTTCTCCCAGAACATTGAATTTTGTGACCACAGTTACAAACAGCCTCCAGAGATCCTGTTCTACACCAGACCAGTGGAGCCAGACTGCAGCCAGAGCCCATTACCATCCTGATCTGGTTGTAAGTAGGCAATCTAGTATATTATTAGTGACACTAATCTCTAATTTACCTCACATTAAAGGGACACTATAGTCCCCAGAACCACTTCAGCTTCATGAAGTGGTTCTGGTGTCTATAGTTTGTCCCTGCAGGCTTTTTAAAGTAAACACACACTATGTGCAGCACTGGTGTTAGTTCATATGGCAGATTATATGGGTGGGGCATTGTGATTTCACATGGGGGGTAGGGGCAAATTTTTCTTTTGCCTAGGGCGGCAAAAATCCTTGCACCAGCCCTGAATAGCACATGACATATTACACAGTGTCATGATTTATTTAGCATAAATAAAGCCAAAATGGTATAGCCATGTGTGAAAAACTACGTACACCTTATGGTTCACCAGCTTGCAGAACCACCTTTAGCAGCAATAACTTGAAGTAATCATTTTCTCTATGATTTTATCAGTCTCTTACATCGTTGTGGAGGAATTGTGGCCCACTCTTCTTTACAGACTGATCTTGGGGTGAATTTGCTGGACGTCTCTGGGAAGATTGGCAACTGTATATGAATGTTTTTCACTTTTGAATAATCCTTCTCAATGTAGAATGATGGACTTTAAATTGTTTGGAAATGACCTTATAACCATTCCCAGTTTGATGGACAGCAAGAATTGCTTCTCTAAGATCATTGTTGATGCCGTTCCTCCTTGGCATTGTGTCAATATAAACCAGAATACACCACACCAGCAAACTGCTAACACTTCAGCTTTTTTAGAGGTGGTCACATATGCTGATGATCAATTAATCAAGGCCATATGATTAGCGGCACCTGTCTGGTACTTTTCCTCCTAATTCCTATGGAAGCAGTAAGGGTGTACTCAGTGTTTCACACACGGGCTCTCCATTTTGGCTTTATTTTTGTTAAATCATGACACTGTGTAATATGTCATGTGTTGTTGTTCATCTGAGGTTGTCCTTACCTAATGTTAAGATCTGCCAAGGAACAGATCATTGTTATGTCCTGATGTGAAAACCATAGAATTCAAAGACGGTGTACTTTATTTTTCCCTATGTCGCTTTCTTAATGCTAGAACAACAAATCACCATTCTTATTGCTGGTGATACAGATGGCATGCAAAATAAATTTTAGAGAAATGGTGAATAAAGGGAGAGGAGAGGAAGCCTTAAGGAATGACTTTGTAAATTACTTTTCCTTGTCAAGTTGTGGTATTTTTGTAGAAATGTTTTTGTGATGAGCCAACTAGAGTAAAATGTGGCAGATGTTTTATAGTAGCCTGTCTGGTTGGAATTAAAAACATGACTTCTTAGTAGGAAAGTTATGTAGTTGCTCTGAAATAAATAATCTGAAATAGAATAGTGGGTGGTCATCTGCAAAATATTGGTAACAAATATGCTAATGGCATCACTGTGTTTAGAGATCAGAGTTGATCCCCTTCACGGAGAGTGCTTGTGTAGTTTGGATGACTGGTCCAGAGGAAGATATCTTGTGATCTGTGGAGGAAGATGGTCCAGGTAAACATTATCAGTGTGTAATCGCCACCATGTTTCACCATATGAATGTCTGTATCATCTCTAACAAATCTATTCTGGATCCCTTTATTTGTACTTTACAAAATTTGTTAGTGCTCACACTATAATGTCACCATTTTGCCTACTGTGGAGTAAATATTACCAACTGCTTTTCAAAGCAATCAACAGAGAACGCAAAATTAATGGGTTAAATGCAAAAGGAATTCCAAAATGCTGGATATAAACAAGTCTCCAAAAACATGGAACTTACTATGTTATAAATTCATGTTACATCCCTTGCAACTATATTATTATGTTATTATTTATATAGCGCCAACAAATTCAGTGGTTGGACGAACATGTAGTTGTAACCAGACAAGTTGGACACACAGGAACAGAGGGGTTGAGTGCCCTGCTCAATGAGCTTACATGCTAGAGGGAGTGGGGTAAGTGACACAAAAGGTAAGGATAGTATTAAACTAATGACAGTTGCAAGAGAGGAATCAGTCGTGAGCTATTAACAGTTTAATTGATTCGCTTTTATGAAGAAGTGGTGTGATTTTTTTGAAGGAGTGGAGACTGGGTGAGCATCTAACGGAGGAGGGAAGTGAGTTCCACAGGAACGGTGCAGCCCTCAAGAAGTCTTGAAGGCAAGCATTAAAGGAGGGAGTATGGACAGAAGATAGACTTAAGTCTTCAGCAAAGCGTAAGGGCCTAGACGGGACATACTTGTGTATTTGGGAGGATAGATAGGTGGGAGCAGCATTATGTAGAGATTTGAAAGCAAGAACCAGAATTTTAAATTGAGCCCTATATCTTACAGGAAGCCAATGTAGGGACTGACAGAAGGGTGATGCGTGGGAGGTGCGGGCGGACAGGAAGATAAGCCTTGCCGCCGCATTCATTATGGACTGTAACGGCACAAGTTGGGAGCACGTAAGACCACTGAGAAAAAGTTAAGGTGAGAAAAGACAGTGGAATGGACCAGCAGCTTAGTCGCATCTGGCGTTAAGTAGGGTTGGATGTGCGCAATGTTTTTGAGATGGAAGCGGCAGGATTTGGCGATAGACTGGACATGAGGCGTGAAGGAGAGGTCAGAGTCAAAGAGAACACCTAGGCAGCGAGCCTGCGTGGTGGAGTTGATGGCAGCACCGTTGACTTGGAGGGAGACAGACACAGGAGTAGCAACACTTAAGGGAGGAAAGACCAGAATTTCAGTTTTGGTCAAGTTGAGTTTAAGGAAGTGGGCAGCTATCCAGTTACAAATAGCAGAGAGGCAGTCAGAGACACTAGTCAAGTGGGACGGAGAGAGTTTAGGAGAGGACAGATAGTGTCATCCATATAGAAATGATACTGGAAGCTAAAGGAGCTAATGAGTTTACCAAGGGAGGCAGTATAGATGGAGAAGAGTAGGGGGCCAAGGACTGAACCTTGGGGGGGACACCAACAGAGAAGAGTTGGGGAAAAGAAGCAGAGCCAGAGAGAGAAAAAAAACACTGAAAGAGCACTGGGAGAGGTAGGAGGAGCACCAGGAGAGAGCAATATCTTGTAGACCGATATTGTGGAGGATGAGAAGAAGCTGTTGATGATCAACAGGGTCAAAAGCCGCAGAGAGGTCAAGGAGAATCAGGATAGAGCAGTGCCCACAAGATTTTGCAGCGAGTAGATCATTGGATACTTTGGTCAGTACCGTTTCCACAGAGTGCTCAGTGCGGAAACCAGACTGAAGCGGATGTGGTGTGCAGCGTCCCTGTCCCCCAGATGGACTGCAATGGGAAACGTTTGTGTTAGGAACACATCTTGGTATGTTTTTCTTTAAGCCCAAATAACATTTACTTGCTATCCTAACTGGTGTTTGAATGCTGGACTTCTCTTTGAGTTAAAAAAGACCATTCTGATTTTAATAATAATTATTCTTTCATTCCTAATTGACCCTGACAAAAAAAGTTTTGGAAGATTTGCCTCAAGTAATGTTTTCTACATTGAATGGTTTGAAATATTTCAAGTTATGTAAAAAATAGTGTTGCATCTGCTTCTACGTTTGCCCCAGTTTTGTGAACACGCATCATGTTCTTATGTATAAAACTGTTACTCCATCTTTATATATTGGTGCCATTTCTCTGCCTGTTCTGTAAAGCACCAATATAATCCATGTTTCTTACACTTTATTCCTTTTTTTCAACTGTTATTCTTTTCCTGTTGATTTTACCATAAACTACATTCATAAAATAAAATAGAGTAATTTGGGGGGGGAAAGACCATTACTATTCCTGCTTCCTGTTTAAGTAAACCGTCCACTCTGACAGCAGCAGAAAAATATGTTGGGGGAAAAAGGCGCAGTCTTACCATTTTTTTTGCATTGGCGACACATTTGTAAACTGAAAAAAGGAAGGAAAAAAAAAGCACCGAAATGAACGAGAAAATAAAGTGACAAAAGAAATGCAGTTAGGAATATTTAGACATAAACAAGGAAATAAATAGGCACAAATAGGAATTATGCCATGGGTATCTTGCATATATTAGGAAGAGAATGTGTGGCTCCCCAATTCATTTAAAAGTTATGCAAGCATTGTTTGCAATTCACCTTTTAAGTGAGGCTATATGCATGCACCCAACATCCAAATCGAAGGAACACTAGATGATTTAAAATATTTGGAAGTATTTATAAATCCAGTGACAATACTTGCCCCTCTGTACCTGTTTGATTAAGCATTGGTCATTGTGCTACTCATGTTAAGTCCCACAGTGACCTCTACTGGATGAAACCATTACTTACAACCTGTGAATTCCATTAGATTCCATATACATTCCTGCATTTGTGGCATGCATTCAGAATTGCATGTATTATTATTGGTATTTATACAGCATCAGCATATTCCACAGCACTTTCTAATTTTAAAGAGGGGATATAACAGTAAATAAGAGAAATACTCCCTCCCTCCCCCTCCCCACCAATCCAGTTACTAACTAGAAGTCAGCTATGATATATGCTATTTTTTAAGTATTACTTTTATTTATAAACTAACTGAAATTATGTGGATACAGATTTAAGTGCATACACAAATATATAACATTTTAAATTAGAGCACTCACTAGAATTAATCTATTTTCCCCATCATTTGCTCACTACCGGGTTGAGTTCACAATACCACTGTATGACACCATATCAGCTTCACCAAGTGACATTTTCTACTGTAAATTCTATGGCCATGCGATCTCCAGAGTGAAAATGAACCCTTTCTGTTCTGATGCAGAGCCTCACCCCTTTACTGCAGTTACAACAATTAAAGAGGAACTTTGAATTCCAGAGAAATGATGGTTCCTGGGTCATTTACTTCAGTAAACACAGTTTCCAGCATCATATGAGGGCAGGCAGGGGATGTGATGGCCCTCAGACCAACAGCATGTGGGAGGCTGGCAAGAGGGCTGCACACTGCTACCTCAAATCATCCTTCTGAAATATTACATAGTAGGGCGTGCTGGGATATTTGTTTGCACAGATCTGCAGGAGAGACATACCATGCTGGAAATGTGTAGGATACTACATATTATCACCACGAAATGTACTGTACTTACACTATTTTTCAAACTGAAATATATATGTAACAGAAAATCCACCCCAAATTTAAAATAATAAATATATATTTTATTATATATAGTTTGGGATTTTCTGTACTATTTGAGGTTTTTTTTCTTTTGCAGGTCCATTACTGTTACATATATAATATTTCAGTTTGAAGGATATTGTAAGCACAGCACATTTTGTGGTGATATTATGTAAGTTGTTACACTAGGGGTGTATTATCATGCAGCTATTTAATTCATGTTAATTTTGATGGCATAATTTGAAAGGAAGCGTCTTGCACATTTTTTACGTTTGATAAATTTAGGTTTTTATGAATTGTGTGGGGCCTGGCACTGTGTAGATTTATGTACAGGCTGTTGGCCTGTTCTCTCAAGGCCCTTCAGGCCTCGACCGGCCCACTGGAATATTTCCTGGGGTGCTGCAGCATCTGAAGCTGTGCAGGCTACCAGACTACAATGAGTAAGTATTAAGTGTCTTGAAGTGTTTGCCAGTGACTGCAGGGTGAGATAAGACCATGAATATGAAATGTATAACACATGGTTGATGCTGGTAATTGTAGAGTCAGTGGGACATGCACAGATATCTTCGAATGCGCCATCATACTGTGCTGATCACACTGATGGAGGTGGTAAGGACATATGATGTCACACCTCAAAGCTCCAGCAGCCTCCATCTGTCATATGTATATATTGCATGGCCCTCCACGAGCAGGGCCATTCATTGCTAGCCCTCCCCTGTTCAGCATCTGGTAGGGTAAATAACAAAGCAAAGGTAAGCAAAAAAAAAAAAAAAGACAATTTACATCCATTGCACAGCAGACACAATGTATATTTTTAGTGAACGCTGAGTTTAAAGTTCTGGAAATAAAATCTCTGAAACAAAACAGTTTAATATCTAAGCAAAATATGTGTTTGTGTTTTTACTTCGCATATGCATTAATTGTGAGGATACACTTTAATTACTGTGGTTATTACCTAGACATGTATTAATGCAACCTCCCAGGCAAGGATGATATGAGTCTAACTCAGTGGTTGCCAAACCAGTCCTTAAGTTTCCCCTGCTAGTCCAGGATTTAGTGATTGTCCAGTCGTGTCAAAGGTTGCATGAGGACTGGTTTGGGAACTAGTGGTCTAACATATGCAGAACTGTCATTTCTCTGGGGACAGCAGAAGTTCTGGTGCAAATTCAAACTCATTCTGTCCCAGCCACAGCTCTGGTAGCTCATTAACCCTGTCCAGACCCAGCTCAAGTACCAAGGACATAAGAACTTCTTCATCAACAAGATCCAGGTCAAACAATCCACTGGCATTGGCAAGTGATCCATGGCCGCTTAAAGTCCAGGACTGTATGTCTTCAGCTCCCTGATATTGACTGTTCAGTCTTTGAAGCTGCATGCTGGCTAGGAGGTGTTGTGGTGTTGATATTGCAAAGGTAGTCTGCTTGGGTGCTACAACGGCTGAGGATCCCATGACTCCGACACCTGGCAAATGTGAAGAACTTGCTTTTTTGTCATTCATGGTGGTTGTTGTATATTGACTTATGATTACGGTTTCTCTATCCTTCATTCTTAGACTTTGATTGGCTTACTCATGCAAAGTGTGATCTGTAACAAAATGGGGTAATTCATGTTAACATATAAACATTATAACACATGTATAAGATGAAGCATAGTACCATATAATTGCCAAGAATACATGGTACTGAATTATGTCAAATATGGCAGTTTAATATTATACACTGAATTTCCTAACCATATGCTTGTGTGATAAATAAGCAACTGTAATCTTCATTAGACTTCGTTTTTCTTTGGCCTTCTTACTCCGACTTCCTCAGAACCTTGCAATGCTCGTAAAGCACCGCTTCTGTGAAAAGTTCACAATGCTATCATCAAAAGCCCAACTGTGAATATTGACTAAAATGTCCAAGTTGTGAATATAGCAGAGATGGGAAGTTTTTCTACAACAGCTATTTTACTCTAATTGTTTCCATTTGAGTTTTAATTTGCTACAGCTTAATAAAGTAGCCAATAAATCAGGCGCCTCACATTCTGGATTTGTGAGGTCTGATCATGTCCAGCAAATCCCTCCCCAGCTGTGTTTTGTGTGATATATAAGGCCCACCGTTAGGGAGGTACAGGCAGAACCCCATGAAGGGGCCCCACCTGTAATGCTTAGTGGTCTGTTTGGGGAAATAAAGTTCTCCCCTAACCGGACCGTATTGTCTAGTATAATCAGAGTGGGCTCCCTCATGGTAACTCTGGATGATACAGTACCAACATGGCAGCCATCAGAAATGTAAGCTGTGCCCAACCTAGAAACATACTCCTTGCTTGCTGCACACATACACAATATTTACAATATCAGAGACACAGTAAGACACACAGGGTTATTCATAACAGTGAGAATTCTAAGTCAGCTATTATTTCAGTTGTCTCTTGGATGGTGGCAAACATAGAATTAGATCATGTTAGTTCATATTTAAATTTGATAGTAATAAAGATATTTTGTACCAATGACATCATATGCATAAGTAAATAAGGTAGAACAGATATACAATGCTGTTCCCAAAGAATTTGCAGATTAGGAATCTCTCCCTAAGGCTGACAGCCCAAAACGTAAAGTTGGAGACAGGCCTGTACTGGGCCAAAAAGTGAAGCCGTCGCCGCTGCCGCCGGCTGGCCCTACCTTTAATCAATTTAAGGATAAAAAGGGATATGCAAACAAAAAGTATAACATAAAAAAGGGAGATCTACTAAACGGTGCCCAGGTGTCGCGGTAACTGTTAGGGTGAATTGAGAGATTTTTTTCCAGATTATCTGGTCCCTTGTTCTCTGTGGACCCTGTGCCTTTCCTCTCTCCCTAACCTCGTTTACACTACCTTCCCATCAGCCAGACACTAGAGGAACTGGAACTTAGATGCAATTTAGTACTCCAGTTAAAGGATCACCTGGGCACCGTTTAGTAGATCTCCCTTTTTTTGAAGTTATACTTTTTGTTTGCATATCCCTTTTTATCCTTAGATTGATTAAAGGTAGGGCCTCCCTTCCTTGTTTCTTATACCAGTGGAACTCCCTGATGTTAGTTTCCCTTTGTGGGATTCTATATATCACTTTCTCCTATTTCCTGCATATTTTGAAGGGTTACCCCCTTATTGGAGCTCCCTATTAGGTGGTTACAGTGGTGCAGCTCACGAGCCCTTGACTTGTATTTGGGCTCCTGACCTGCAATCTGTTTACTTTATTGCTCCATTTTGTGTTAGCTGCTTATATTGCCACGGCTGACACCAACAACCAAACGTGGTTCTTCAGGTAGCAACCATACGAGGATTACAGCACTGAGTTACCAGTTAGTAAGTTACGGTTTCAGACACTACTGCGACAGGTAGTGGTATTTCTTTAGTACAAAGTGCACTGTTATGACTAGCACATGAGAGATCCTTTGCTGGACAGCTTGAGCAGAGTCCATGAAACACTTCCTTAATCAGAAATTATTCTGTCTCATTATTTACTGATACCTGTAACACTACTGCTAAATGTGAATTTTTGGTTAGCTATAAGGTCCTTAATGACATAACCTTTATTTAACTAGGTCATCCAAAACATGTAGAAAGAGGACACACAATGTCAACATGCAAATTGTCTAACTTGCCTTGTAGTACACACACACACCACAGTGCCTCCTGAACGGCTGCTAGTCATCAATCGATTTTAATGAGTATTCAGTCTGTAGTGCAAAGAAAGGAGTGGAGGGGAGAAGACTATTAAAGAAACATTAAAAACCAATATAGAAAATAAAAATCAAAACAAAATGAAATCTCTCGAATATGTTTCGGTGACAATGTGGCTTTGACAAGAAACTTTCAATGACTTTTTTTATTTTAAAAAAGGCAAACGTTTGCAGCCCTAAGTGCCCATTTAAATTAGCTATCACGTGAAAGATAATATGGGAAGCAAGGTCGGTATATGGTAATTCTTGAGAGCTTAACTATATTTTGAGAATGAGAAGTCTAATGTTGAGCTGAAAGCCTCTTTGGACAATAAATATCATGAACTAACCAAAGATTTACCACTTCGTCTATTCTCTGATTTTAAATTGGAGTCTGTGAAGTTCAAGGCATGGTAAATTTACTTAAACTGCATTTTGGAAAAATGCTTCTCTTGACAAGGTTATTCAGCACCTGCAGTCAAAATCCTTTTGAAATCAGCCCAAGCACAGAGCTTCGAGCCCATTGGCTAACAGTGTATTTGTTGAGTTCAGCTAGATAAATCTATGAAACTTAAACTTACAGCTTTTAATAAAAAACAAACCTTATTATGTAATTGTTAGAGAATGGAAAAAAATAGAATTATTGCTTGGGCTGTATCATGGAAGGATGACATCAGGTGAATAAGAAAGAAGTAAAGTATTATCCGGCACGTATAATGCTATAAATATTTCGAATAACAGACAATTTTCTAGTACATTTGTAACATGAAAAATATTCCATAGCAATGTATAGTTACTTGGCAACAGACTGCTAATAAGAAGAGGTTGGAAAGGAATCAAGTAATTTTAAAAAGGTCTGCACCACAGATCCTCCCTTACAGTCAGTGAGCTGTCACAGTTACAACATTCTCCAGCTGTTCAAACAGTAATAAAGTTTCCTCTCCTGGAATCAATGTTTATAGGGCTACAGGATTAGGAAAACAATGGGATCGGATGGGAGAACTGACATTATTATTTCCGTGCACACAAGGACATTAAAAGCAAATCTATGGTGCTTTTGTAAGCTTCAACCAAAAAGTTTAACCCTTGTGTTTGTCAATTCACTTATTTAGGGATTTAAAAGACAAATATATACCAAATAAAACAAAACTGCAATGCTGACTTAATAACACTATGCAAATTAGCTGTAAACAAATATCTATAGCTTAAGATGCATCATATCCTGGAGGTTGACATATGTTTAGGAGATTTATGAGTTGCACAAATATCATTAAAAGTCTATTTAGTTCTGTTTATGAGCCAAGAAAGAGGCACATCCATAGGGCTCGCTAAAAGTTAGCAGTCAGTAGTAAGCTTTTGCTCCTGAGGATTCTCATCTTCTGCCAGACATAATCTTACCCATAAAAACTGCTGTAAAAACTCTATTGTTCTGCATCCATAAAACCCGATATCACGGTGCTTGCTTTTATCCAGACAACTAATATTCCCTCATCTGCACTCTTAACTTTTGGACAAATTATTCTTGTTTCATTAATCTGGGTTTTTACGGTTTCACAAACATAACCATTGTAAAGAGATTAAGAATGTGTTAGCAACAAAAAGTAAAAGAAACAGAACAGAAAAAAAAAAAAACGACATGTGTGTTTAAGACAAATATATTTTCTAATAAACTGAAAGCAGAAACCAAAAGCCACCAAAATGAATTGGTACCTTATACCAAAACTAAAGTAGCTTCTTCCTCCCATTTAAATAACAGTGCACTAAATGTCTTAATACAGTACAATTCTATATGCAGTTTACACAGAATGAATTCTTCGTATATAATGCATATACGCACACACACACACAAGATTTTATAAATGTTTTAAATGATTACTATATAAATGTAATGTATGCGTTCATTAATTCTAAATTCAAATTATATTCTAATAAAGTAAAACACAAAACCTATTTTTTGTAAAATTTAATTATCAGATAATGTAGTGTCTACAAAAAAATGAATTGCTACATTATACATAACACAAAGTCGAGGTGGGGACAGTATATTTCTAAACACATCAAATTTTACATAAAAACAGTAACAGTACAACGGTAATACGTTGACTATAAAACACATGAAATTCACTTTAGAAACAATATAACATTTGTTTAAACATCATTAACACAGTGTCATACAAATGTGTCATCTATGAAACATTGCACTCACCTTTAAATATAGAAAAACAGATCCATTTCTGAGATTGAAAGATTCCAAAATGTTGGTTCTCAACGATGATTCGTTCAGCAGGTATGTATTCTGTAATGAAATAGCTGGCTTTGGGTTAACAAACATCTTCCTTTCATGGTTATAGATTAAAAACGGAATCCTGTATCATTCAGCCTACATTTCTATCTAAAAGTTAGATTTGTGAAACTCTGCCTGTGCACGGAAAACTGATCTAATAAAGTAGGTATCCTGTGATCAAAACGAGAGCCAGGCTTATCCCTCGGAGTCTGTAGTAATGCATGAAGTGGAACACAAACAACTGACTCGGAAAATTTAACTCTTTCTTTTCCCAGTGGATATGCACATTATCAAACTACCAGACTCAGTTGTCAGTCAGTGAAACCTATCTCTGACTACAGATTATCAAGGCTTACATATATAATTCTAATGCAGGATGATTGATTAGAGAAAACACTAAGATGGTTTGCGTCTGTTCCAGTACTTTAATATTCAGTTATTACTGGACTCCTGTCATAATTAGCATAGCTACCACCTAACGCCCAAAATCGTGCTAGACTCCACCCCAACAAAGAGTTGCTTGATGGCAAAGGTGGCAGACTGACGCAAGTGCTGAGACTTTCCATTGCAGTATGGTCCATTATTCAATGTAGCTTAGCTATCTATACCACAGGCATTCTGGTAACAGGTAGGAAAGGGTTTCTATCTCATATAGAATGGTTTTACCCCCATTATCACAACTCCTAAGAGTGCAAGTAGAAGCAGTTATGAGCAAGTAAGCTTCATACTGCTAGAAATTAATGAAAAGACCAATTGTTTGTGCCCGATATGAGGAAAAAACCCAAAACACAGATAGGTGCAGTGCCCTCCCGCTTCCAAATTCCCCTAGGACTAATACAAAGGGTGGATTGTCTGAGGTTAATTAAAAAAAAAATTCCTTGAGTTATCGCTCAAGAGGGTCAGACTGAAATGAAGCAGAGTCTTCTCTGTTACGGCTTATTGCAATTTTATCCAGGGTCAGCTAATAACTGCTACATTCAAAACTATCTGAACTTGCTACAGCATCCTTTTACACATACTTCATTAACTTTCTTGCATTAAATAGGTTACATCACCATTGTTGAAGCTGGTCATCAAAGCTATGAACATTGTCTGACTGTAGCAAGTTCAAGAAGGCTACAGGGATACCTTGAAGACAGTGTTTGGGTCTCCTGCTGAAGAACAATTGATAAGAAAAAAAAAAGAAAAAGTGCAAGACATGTTTCTTGGTTTGCACTTGAACATGACATGACAAAGATCACAGCCATACATGGATCCGTCCCTCCTCTTTGTTCGTCACAAAGACTATACATTTAGAAGCACTGTACGTACATGTATCAATGATACCTAGTCATAATATAAAGATTTAACTAAAGGATTTCACAGTAACACACTTTTCATGTGAGTGATTTACAGTAAATCCCAATCTCAATTTTATTCAGAAAAAAACAAAATGTCTCAAATCCCAACTCATAGATGACATACGACTGTTTGAGCGCAAGAAACCAGAAATAACCTTTGTATGTAAAACGTTTAGATAATAAAAACAGGAGAGAACATGTTGTAAACAATATTTAATATCTAGTTAAAAACAATCCATAAAAGCACAAATTTAAAAAAATATATATTTTTGGTCCAGAGAACAAATGTTTTGCAGTAGGGTTAGACACCATTGCCATAGTGTAGCAATAAAAAAGTATTTACAGGGTGCTGGACCATCAGACGTGGGGAGAGTAAACAGCACCTTTTGAAGACTTTAAACGACACGCTTTAAATTGCCTGCAATGAGAGAAATAAAAAACAAAACACAACAGATTAAATAATCTCTGTAAACATAAAATGATAGCACGTGGGAACATTTTATTAATTTCTCATGAATATTATACAACTGTGATATTAAAAGAGCATCATGGGAAATTTAGTTAAAAAAAACATTTCAGGTGTTCATGTGTTAACATAAAAAAATAAATGGAAAAAACTACACTTAGTTTTGATTTAATATCAACACTTATATTTAATATTAAGCTACCTAGTTAAAACGTTGGAGCTATAATTGTGTAAAATAACATTGTGCTAACATTATCAACACCGTGGATTACAAGACCATACACTGTTGGTCAAGTTGTTAAAGGGACACTATAGTCACCTGAACAACTACAGCTTAATGTAGTTGTTCAGGTGAGATCTATAGCTCCCTGCAGGCAATCTAATGTAAACACGGTATTTTCAGAGAAAATACCGTGTTTACATTGATTGGTAGGAATACCTCCAGTGGCAGTCACTCAGACGGCCACCAGAGGGACTTCCTATCATGTATGGCCCTAAAAAGGCCATGTACACGTCAGACGTATTAAAATACGTCTGACGTGTGCAGGAGAGAGAAGGCACTGTGTGCACGCCTACTCTCTCCTGCCTGTCAGCAGAGGAGAGGGGGCGGGAAAAGACCACGAGCTGAGCTGTCAGCTCAGCTTGCGGCTGCGCACACCATGCGCAGCCGCGGTAGTGCGCTCCGGACTTCATCGGGCGGCATGAATGCCACCCTATGAAGTATGTGCAGCGAAGCCATGCATGCGCACAAGGGAGCAATGACTCTTCCAAATGGAAGCGTCTGATTGCTCCTTGCTCGCGCCCACCTATTTCGTCATTTTGATGAAATAGGTGGCGCGGCTTCACGAGGCTCCCGACGCTAGAACCAGGTGAGTAAAAACGGCTGCCTGGAGAGTCCCTTTAATAAGATGTCTGTTTTTTAACAATTTCATATTTTAACAAAAATTTGCAATACAAATTATCACATAATTCCTGTCAATTTAAAAAAAAAAAAAATAGCATAAGACAATTGCCAAAAGGTTTGATACTGCATTTGAACATCAGTCGTGTATATAAAACCAAGCATCAAGAAGAAAAAAAAAAAAAAAAAACAACATTGCAAAAGTAGTATAAACCTTACACAACACTTGTGGCCAAAACTCTCATATGTAATAGAAATCATGCCTCATACGCATAAAATAATACAAAGGAAAAAAGCGTGAATGGAAGAAAACGGGAAAGAATAGAGTGGAAACAGAAAAAAAATGGAGAGGGAAGGTGTGGGTGGGTATACACAACCTACAGAAGGTCACACAACAAATAGGAACCACTTTAAGTGGGCAGTCTTGTCAAGCTCTATTAAATATAGAAAAAGAGTTGACAGTACCTGGAAACAAAATCTGGGCAAGAGGAGATCAAAACAAAGCCACAATGGACATAATAAAGCAATCTGGATATTGTAAATGGCTTACTAACTCAATCAAAAAAGGGCCATTCAATTCTGTCAAACACCGTCTCTGCATCAAACAAGAGCAGCAGACAAGGTGTCTTAGTTGATCAAGTGCACCAAGCCAAGTTGATATTTCGTTTTGTATTTTCCTACCCCGTTCCCACAGGAATGAAGCCTACATGGTCCAGATGGATCAAGGACAGCAACACGACATTATGCTTAGAGAGATGGTCTATAATTATTGGAAAGGTCTGGAGGGTTAGCAGGTTTTGTAATTAGGGTAATATGCTAGCCAAGATGGCATCTTCAGGAAAGTGGGCACCAAAAAAGACTGATTGAAACAAAGATAAAACAGTTACCAGTTCTGAGAAAAAGTCTTTAGTACAGCATTGTAAATCCATGCATACCAGCGCTTTGTGATGGCAAGAGTCTCCTCTGTGACTGAAGCCAGTAAGAGCCCAATCTAGGAGTCACATAGTTTGGGTAGAAGAAGTTGAGCCAAAAGAAATGTATTCTATTAGACTAGTATCAGTGGAGGAGTGGGAAGGAGACTGTCTGTAGATGCTTATACATTTACTGAATAAAGATATCCTGAATACCCACAAGTAATCAGTCTACTGCCTAATAGAGGCCATAGTTTGAGAGAATCAAACGGTATATCCATTTTGTTAGAATATTTGAAACAAAGGCAAGAATCATCCATTAAAATGACTTGTGAAGATATGTTAGATTCATGTCTAAATTCGATCTTATGTAAGTCGGACTAAAGTGGGAAAATACTTGCCAATTCTTTTCTAATAGTGATTAGAGACAAAATAAAGAAAAGGCCTCTAACAGTACAAAAAGCACTTTTACCAACCAGGGAAAAAAGTAGAAACCAGGAACCAAAAGGCGTGCAGAACTCTTGTTCTCAATGTTTGTCCACTAACGAAGAGGAAATGTCTCTAACCGTATTCATGTTTACAGAGTGTGAATTGTACTTCTGTTGTCTCGCATTTCCCAATATTTATGTTATTGGTCTCTGCCTTGGTTTCCTTCCTCTTTTATGTATTTTTCCCCTTTGCCTTTGTTATTTTAAATGTAATAGTTATCTCAGTAATGAGGAAAACACTAAACAAAAAAAAACATTCAAAAGAAATGGCTCAAATTGGTATTTATATTAGTCTGTAGGCAATAACCGTCTGTAGCGTAAGGTAAAAGAAGTATTAATCTAAATTCATGGTCGGTGTGTTCGATCTATCCCACACTCATTACTTTTCTTTGTTTTTCTCTTTCCCTAGTTTTATATTTTCCTTTTTCACTTTGTCCTTTGTTCCCCTGTGTTTAGTAACCCACAAAATTCTGTGTGTCTGTGTATGTATGTATATGTAATATATATATATATATATATATATATATATATATATATATATATATATATATATATATATATATATATATATATATATATATATATATATATTACATACATATACACACACACAAATATCTAACTATTTAAATAAATGTATTTTTTTTTAACTAAAAGGAAAACGAAAAAAAAAAAACAAAAAACAATGTTCCAAAATCATGGACCAAAAGAAATAAAAACAAAAAAACACTTGTAGTTATCAAAAACCGAGCCACAAAACAGAAAAAAAACCAAAAAAACATTCAGGTGCTATAGTTGTTGTCAGTAGGGGAGTTCGTTGGAGAGTTCCACAGAAAGCGGATATGAGGAGGCAGGGAGATCGTTATAGTCCTCAGGAATGGGAACTCTCAGGGCATTGAGAATAAAAGTGAAATTGCCCGAAGAGTAGCAGCCGTAGGTTCTGCTATTATGAATAACCATCAAACCTAATGGATACCCTGAGGCATATCTAATAAGAGTGCTTGTAAAGAATATCTGTCAGGGGCCAAAGGAGAATTGCTTTTCCATCAGGAGTTGAAAATCCCTACAGCACTGTTCTAAAGCCTATTTAATACAATACTGATGAAGGTCAACTATAACATCCCTGGAAGCCTTCCCTGAGCCACCCTCCCTCTGTGCCTGCATTAAATCAGCGGATTAAACCTCAGGTAGCAATCTTAGATGAACATTACTTCTGCTGGACCTCTTAGAAATAATCCTCCAGATAAGCCAGTAAGGAGATAGTGAGATCATCAGCCTTGTTACAAAGTTGGATAACCTTCTCCACTTTGTCCTCCAGAATGGAGGTTCTCTGACAGGCGGGATGAATTTCGGAGGAAGTCTGTTGGTTGCTTCTATCAATATCACCCTTGAGAGACATCTCTACAGAGGTAAGTTTAGCGAATCAGAGGTCCACATCGCTCTTGCTTGTGGCAGGAACCTAGGTGTCTTGGTCTGCACTTACACATGTAGAGCACAGGGACCTCAGTGTGTCGAGTGGTGTAGAAAATCGAAGCAACAGGAGCACCAAATTCTCCATGGTGATTCAGATTTAAGTGAATAACCACGTGAGTCACCATCTGCAGCATCAGAGAATTTACCATCAGTCCCGTGCTACTGCCCTTTACTTTAAGTTATTTCTCCAAGTTAATAGCACGAGCCCTTGGATCCTCGATTCAAGTTCTAAGGTGCCATTTTCTGACTACGTGTTCCAGTACACCATTTATTTACTTGCAACCACAATACAGACATCTGATTCAGAGCTTTAGCTGCGTCTGCTCTATAACGGCCTTACGACACTTGAGGTTTAAAATGTTTGTTGTGCCCTGTTCTTTGTCATTATTATAGGGAGTATCCTCCATTTTTATCTTAAAACACAGCAGAGAGGGGGCGTGGCCTGGCGACGGTGCTGAGCGGCCGCATGTACTGAGCGCTCCGCTCCGACAGGACCCACAGGAGCAATAAGGCGGCTGCAGCCGACGATAAAACCGGGGACACTTATCCCCAAGCAAGCATGTCTCAGGCTAAGGGGAAACGGCAAATAGAAAAGGCCGAAAAAAACGCTTTTTTCACCTCCCGGACGCCGCAGGGGAAGCAGGCCTTGGTGCAGGATGAAATCCAAGATGGCGCCGAAGACCAGGATGAACAGCATAGTAAGTCCCCTGAGAACGAAAACCCTGTCACACAGCAGGTAATGCGGACACTACTAGAAGAAATGTCTGCCAGGCTGGAAAACAGCTTTAAAACAGCAATAGGGGCCATGCATAAAGATATCCAAGAGCTGGAAGTGAGAACAACCGGCACAGAAAAAAAAATGGAGGAGCTAGTTGAAGCACATAAAGGTATAGAGGGAGAGGTGGAAGAGATCCGCAGCCAAATGAAAATGTATGAACTAAAGCTTGCTGATATGGAAGACAGAGCCCGCAGAAACAATCTAAGAATACGTGGGATAAAGGAGGAAGTGGGACAAGCAGAACTGGCAACTTATTTGACTGCCATGTTGAAAAAACTAGCACCTGATATACCAACAGATCAATTGCTGATGGACAGATACCATAGAACAGCTAAACCCAGCTTCCTGCCACAAGACACCCCGAGAGATGTCCTCATAAAGATGCACTATTATCACGTAAAAGAAGTGATACTCCAAACGAGCAGGGCGAAGAAGAAACTCCCCGAACCTTATGGGGGATTGCTGATCTTCGCGGACATATCATCATATACACTAAAAAGAAGGAGGGACTTCAAGGACATCACGGAACAGCTCAGGACCCACAAGCTCCCTTACCGGTGGGGATACCCGGTGAAAATCCTGGTGTCCAGAGGCGGGAAGATATCGGCCATAACAACACCTGAGGAAGGATCTCGATTGCTACAGCGTTGGGGCATAGCCGAGCAGAGCCAGAGAAGAAGCCCGAATAGGACAGGCGGTTCCTCCACGAACTGGAGAAAAGCCTGAAAGACTATGTCATTGGACTCATAGACTGCATACTATACCAAGTGATTGTGGTGAGAAAGGTCATGATGCAACGACCATGGAGGAGCGTAAGGGTATCGTATAAAACTAAGCGACTTACTGAGGTTATGACACAGTTAGATAAATTGAGGAAAAAAAAAAAAAAAAAAACCACACACACAGTTTTAACTGTTTACGTATATAAGACCTCACAAGTGGTAAATCACTCCAGTAGGGTAGCCTGGGACCAGACTGCCTAGACGCCATGACAACCATGACGGCACAGGAGTGGGCCAAGTCGGGGAAGCACCCCACCAAGAGGAAGTAGTAGTACTTCCACCCCCCAGAGGTACTAAATTGTACCTATGCCACATACGGCACACGTCACATTTTTGTTAAGTTCATTTACCCTGTTACTGTTATGTTCCCAATTTCCCCCCGGTCTGGCTGGGACCGGACAATATATAACCTTCCCCATATGCCCGCAGGACGCTTATACGAAACATCAAGCACAAGGGACTCTGGTACCCAATAATGTCCGCAAGGGCTCCCAATCACCCACCAATAGGCGAGAGAGGGGTGCCCGAATCTTACCCTCCAAGAGGGGGAAATCGCTCGACTTGATGCTGCTGGGGCGAGCGAACTCCCCGCACAGGTGCTTACAATTCAGTATGTCCCTTACTAAACTAACGGGGTACAGACCCCCATGAAAATATACTCGTTAAATGTTAGAGGGTTAAACCTACCGGTTAAGAGACACCAATTGTACAGAGACCTTAAACAAGCGGATGCGGACGTTGTTTGTATACAAGAGACGCATTATAGGACCGATGACTATATCCCACCATCTGTACACGATTACCCACACCAATACCATGCGGCTTCCACTACAAAGTCCAAAGGGACTTCCATACTAATATCTAAAAGAGTGGCTTTCACAATGATTTCAGTAGAGCTAGACACAAATGGGAGATATGTTATATTGAAATGTACGATTAACAATATGCTGTACACCATCACGAATCTTTATTCACCTAACACAAATCAGGGCGGGTTCCTACAACACCTGTTACAGAAACTGTCCACAATTCAAGAGGGAATGTCCATTATATGCGGGGACTTCAATCATGTGTGGGACCCAAAGTTGGACTCCAATACCCCACGCCACAGCCCAAGATATAAAATACTACACAGACAATGTAAAAAAATACAAAACCTCCTATCCCTACACCACTACTTTGACACATGGCGGATAACCCACACATCAGAGCGGGCATATACCCACTTCTCACATGTCCACAACACATATTCAAGGATCGATGGGATCCTAATCCACGGACAGGCCCTTAACCAAATGGCTGACTGCGAAATAGGCCAAATCACTTGGTCAGACCACGCACCAATTACGCTGACGGTCAAAGACCAATATGATTATAAGCAACGCAGCCCATGGCGGTTGAATGCCTCCTTACTGTATGATAGCACATTTAAAAAGGAAATAGAGGCCACAATCTGTAACTACTTCTCAGAAAATACCACTCCAGATGTGTCTAAGGGCACAATCTGGGCGGCACACAAGGCAGTAGTTAGAGGGGTCTTCATTAAAAGGGCATCATACCTGCACAAACAGTCCTCATCCCAAATTACACAATGGAGACGGGAGCTATACCAGCTGAACACACAGAACCAACACTCACCCTCTAATGCCATTAAAAGGCAAATCTCCACCATTACAGCAAAACTACACCAGAAGGCGCTAGAGCAGACAGGGTTCATGCTTCAACGACTGAAGTCGCGACAATACATGCAAGGGAATAAAGCTAGTAGACTCCTAGCTAGGAGGTTACAAGAAAAAAGAGCAAACCAAAAAATTGCCTATCTCATGTCCCCCACGGGAGAGAAGAAAATGATCCCAAAAGATATATGCAATGAATTTGCTAATTATTACGCCTCTCTATATAACATAAATAAGAACGACTCTGCGTTTCACCCCACAGAGGAACACATAAACGCTTATTTGGCCACGATAGACCTCCCCAGGCTCACGCCCCAACAGGCGCAAGATCTCATAAAACCGATATCAGAGACAGAAATCCATAAAGTAATCAAAAACCTACCTAATGGCAAAGCCCCAGGCCCAGATGGCCTAGACAACAGCTACTACAAAACCTTTCTACACCAATTAGCACCCCAATTAGTACACATGTTCACAGAGGCAACCACTACACAAGCTCTCCCTACAGAGTCACTACTAGCCCATATTATCACCTTACAAAAACCAGGGAAACCGCCCACTGTCCCCCAAAACTTCAGACCCATTTCCCTGCTCAATACAGACGCGAAAATATTCGCCAAACTGTATGCAACGAGACTGAGCGCACTCCTCCCCCAGTTAATCCATTCAGACCAGGTAGGATTTGTGCTTGGGAGACAAGGAGCGGACAACACACGCAAAGTCCTAAATATAGTACACAGTCTGCCCAGAACACACAAAGAGGGGGGCCTTGTGGTATCCCTAGACGCGGAGAAGGCCTTTGACCGCCTGCACTGGAAATTCCTGGAGGCGGTCTTGGAAAAGTTTGGGGTGCCAGGCGAATTTCGCTCGGCGGTTAAGGCGCTGTACAGCGAGCCGAAAGCTCAAGTACTCAATGCAGGATTCCTGTCGAACCCCTTTGGCATCTCCAATGGGACGAGACAGGGGTGCCCTCTGTCGCCCCTGCTCTATGTCCTAGCCCTGGAACCGCTAGCTGCCAAGATCAGGGACCATAACTCTATACATGGCGTGCGCATAGGCGACAGGGAATACAAAACCAACTTATTCGCGGACGATGTGCTCCTAACCCTGACCCAACCACTAATATCGATGCCACACTTACTAAGTGTAATAAAAGAATATGGTAAAAGTTCTTATTATAAACTAAACGTAACAAAAACCCAGGCAATGGGAATTGGTATACCCACTGAAGTGATAGGAGTGCTGAAAGAGAAATTTGAGCTGGACTGGAGAGCAGACAGTGTCACCTTCCTAGGAATAAAACTGACTAAGACAATAGGGGGACTTTTCAAGGCCAATTACGAGCCGCTGCAAAAAGAATTAGAGACCAGCTTGGCAGCATGGAAAGATAAATACCTGTCTTGGCTGGGACGGATGGCTGCATTTAAAATGTCTCTTCTCCCCAAACTACAATATCTATTTAGAACGATACCGACAGGCCTACCGTCCTCATATCTAAACAAAATACAAACAATACTCACCAAATTTGTATGGGCACAAAAGAGAGTGAGAGTAGCGGCAAAATTCCTATACAGACCAATCACCCAGGGAGGTCTAGCGTTGCCAAGTATTAAGACCTACTGTCAAGCGACATTGGTGGCCCCAGTGATAGGGATGCATACACAGTCCTCATACCCCCAATGGCTAGAAATAGAGAACCACTGGTTACAAGGAACAGACCTCCAGAAACTAATATGGGTACCTAAAAGGTTACGCCCTCCACAACCCTACATACTACCCACCACCAAAACAATGTTGGAGGCTTGGGATAGATCACAATCGACATTAGTGTCCATGTCACCATGGTCACCGGCAACCCCGCTGTCTAGCCTACATATAGCCAACAACACGTTTGATTACAGAGAATGGACCAAGAGAGAATGCACACATGTACGGGATCTCCTAGAAGGACACAACCCCAGACCATTCCCCGTCCTCCAAGAAAAATTTCAACTGCCCTCTAAATTGATATTTCCATATCTCCAACTTAAATCAATGCTAGGGGCCCAAAGACTCACAGATCAGGGGGGGGGCGAGTTCACGAGGCTGGAGAAAACGTGCATGGACAAAAAACAGAGGAAAGGGATTATCTCCATGTGCTACTCGCTTATGAACGTAGGTACACCAACACATCTAGACAGATTCAGCGAGGCGTGGCAGCTGGACCTGGGGAAACAATTTGATAACACCCAATGGGAGACAGCTGTAACAGCGCATAAGGGGAAGACATTGTGCACGTCCCACATAGAATTAATGAGGAAAGTGTACTATAGATGGTACATGGTGCCTACCAGATTGGCGAAGATATACCAGGGAACATCAGCGCTGTGCTGGAGGTGTGGGGTGTCGGAGGGCACGATGCTCCACATATGGTGGAAGTGCAGGACGATCAGACCCTATTGGGAGATGGTAGAGGACATAACTAAAGAGATGGTAGACACCAACATAAAATTGACCCCGGAATTGAGTCTCCTATTCATGAACTTAGACCAGTTTCAGGGAGCTGGGGCAATATTGGTTTTCCACATACTGATAGCAGCCCTGACACTAATAGCTAGGGAATGGAAAAACACAAAGGCACCGACTAAAAGTGCCCTGACAAGGCAAATCTCCAACAACCTACACTACGAAAAGGTAGCGAGGAAAAACTATGGCAACAGCGCCAAATTTGAGGAAGCACAAGTTAAATGGGAAGCCGCATACGCCCCCAAAGAACAGGAAGACAGCGAATAATCCCAAACCAGGGAGTCGCCCCGTAGGGGATCCCGTGAGACAAGAGATACACCCCAGGGGGTAAGAGAGAGGGCCCAAGGGATAGAGCCCAGGGAGGACAGAGGAGGCAGGCATAGGACATTGGGTAGACCAAGAGCCAAGAGTCCTGAGCGGAGTATAAAGTCTCTATAGGGAACAGAACCGGTAGGAAAAGGGACACGCAGATCTCGCCAAATTCCTTCCCCCCCCCACCTTCCTATACTCTTCTCTCCCCACCCCACAAGTTTTACAAATCCCTTCCACGTTGGGATATTAGAGGAGAGATTCAAACAAGTAGAAGCCGGGTAACCCGGAATGAACTAGGTTGGGAAGTACAGACCATGCGAGATAAGAAAAAGCTAATGACAGTTAGTCACAATCGTAGGGTACGCAAGCAGTGACGAAGCACAGGACGGGTCTTGAACCCAATGGAAGGGAACAAGCCCAAGTCTAACACTAGGGATAGCATGTTATTGAAAAATTATTGTAATGTTATTGGAATGTAATATACCATGTAACGAAGGTTATGATGTATACTATATGCGAGAACATGTGATGTACTGCCATACTTTCCCCCCCCCGTCTCTCTTCTGTACCCCATATACCCACGTTTTTGGAAAATAAAAATTGTCAAATTGGAAAAAAAAAAACACAGCAGAGAGCTGAAAGTGTAATTGTCACGTATTCATCCGCTTATAAAAATGTGGTTAATGACATTTACTGTCAACACATGAAAAGTTGTGCCGAGCAGCAACCTAATCCACAGAAGGGTTAATGCTGAGCAGCAATTATGCAAATTAGAACCTGGTAACTGACTTTGGGGTCAAAGGCCGGTTACAGCCTATCAGATCTAAAGGAGGGGTATTTAGGCCCAGTTCTCAGCCTGCTCAGTGCCCTGTCGTGGTTTCCCTTGTGGTTGTCCGAGAGCGAGTTATTTATTTTTGTTATTCTGGTAATTTGACTTTGGCATTGTTTTTGACTTCCCTGTTTTCTGGCATCCCTGACTCCTGGCTTTTTCTTATCGTTGTGTCTCTTTCTGTTTCCCTTGACCTCGGCTATTCCTGACTATTCTTTGGTACGTTAGTCCGGCCATTCTAAGGTCCGGTATACGTTACCTATTAGTCCTCTGTGTTACACAATTCTACATGCTGGATCATTCTGTAATCCTGACAGTAATAGCTTTTCACTCTCTCTTTTGGTAAACAAGTTTCTGCAGGGTAACCATGGCAGCGTTACACACATGTAACTCCACTATTTATTTTGACAGGGCAGGAAATCTATGTGATAACTCCGGTCCCTCTTTCCCTATAGAGTATCTTTCCTATCCTCTCAGCTGTCCAGAAGTCTATAAATCATGGGTTTATTTTTGTCTTATTGCTCATGGATTATCTTTCATACGGTCTAAGCCAAGCGGAAATCAGCATCCCTCACCTTAAAGCACCAATGCTGAACCCTTTAAAAAAAAAAAAATAAGCACCAGTAATTAGCAGTTAACAAAAAAATATAGAAAAAGAAATGTTCTTGCAATTTAGCTTGCTGACATGCTTGATGTCTGAAGAGTGTGCCCTCTTCTTTTATTTTACAAAAAGTAGAGATTTCAGTAGAAATTGGCACTTTTATGACTTCATTACACCCCCTTAGCTTACAAGCAGACAATAGGCCCCGTTACTTCCTGGTTTGGTTAGCTCAGTGGAGCTAAACCCAATAGGCACAAATTGCCCAGAGCAGCTGCCTTACAAAGACTTCTCATTGAGCAGCGTTGGGAAATCTGTGATTGGACAACCACAGAAAGTCTGGGTGGGGTTAGAAGGGGAGGGCTTGCAAAAGCAGCAGATAAGAAAACTGAGAAATTTTAGTCTTTCTAGTCTAACAAGGTATTGCTCAGAAAGGTGGCTAAATTAGTAAGTTTCCTACTAGAGATAACTTTCTATTGCATCTCATTTCATTATTGTATCTCTTGTTTTCCAGTATCCTCATCTCTATAGGCCACTATGGTGGCAATACACCTCTTGAAATTCACAGCCAACGCCTCTGCACAGTTATCTCTTATTTTATCTTGTTATTGCTGCTAAAAAAAATAAAAAAAATTCACTTTGAGTGCAAATCCACTTGACATCACTGACTTACTGACCCAAATTTTGCAATGCAAGCACATTGCAATTGCTTGCTGTCTCCTAAATAATGTCTTGTAAAAGAAATGGTTATAATGACTGCAGATCATTTTTTGAAGTTTAGATCAGGATTTTTTTGGTGTGAGCAGAGTTAAATTAATACTTTGGACTCCCCTCTGTTAAGTGAGTCCATATGTAGTGGTTTCAGGCTGACTGATGAGCTTTTATGCAGCGCTGAAAGCAATCACTGCACACAGCCTTTTAAAACACCGTGGCTGAATGACTGCACTGACAGCATGCAATAACTGCAGCACGAGAGGGAAATCTCATGCTGCAATCACAAAGTACTCAAATCTCTCTGAGTTAGTGTAGGGAATTGTTGTCTAACCTGCGGTCTGGTTGCTGTCCGCACTGCCAGGCGGCGAAGGAGGCAGGAATCCCTTTACATAATGTGCTCCTCCTGGACAGCTCCCTCATGCGCCCTTCAGTGAGCATCTCTGCTGGACATACGAGGGACCAGTATAGGAAGAGCACAGAGATCCCAGAACAGTGGATCCATTCCAGCCCTCCCGGAGTAAGGTACCTCTCAAGTACTGATTGTATGAATGTAATTTTTGTGTATGTTTTGTCAGTGATTGTGTATGCGTGTGGGAGGGGGAAGGGGGTCTGTATGTATGTCTCTTATTGTGTGTGTATATCTCTGATTATGTGTATGTATGTGATTTTGTGCATAGGTGTGTGTCAGTGATTGTGTATGTAAGTGATTATGTGTATAGGTCTGTGATTGTATGTGTGTGTGGATCTGTGATGGTGTGCTTATGTCTGTGATTGTGTGTATGCATGTGTGTGACTGTATGTACATCTGTGGTTATGTGTGTGGGTCTGTGATTGTGTGTGTGTATAGGTCTGTGATGGTGTGCTTATGTCTGTGAGTGTATATTTGTGATTATGTGTAGAGGTCTGTGATTGTATGTGCATGTGTGGGTCTGTGATTATGTGTATGTATGTTTGTGTTTGTATATACATCTGTGGTTATGTGTGTGAATGTATGTGACTGTGTGTATAGGTCTGTGATTGTATGTGTGTGGGTCTGTGATTGTGTGTGTGTGTATATTTGTGATTGTGCATATAGGTCTGTGATTGTATGTGTGTGTCTGTGATTATGCGTGTTTATAGGTTTGTGACTGTGTATTGTGTATGTATGCGATTGTATGTGTGTGTCTCTGTGATTGTGTATGTGGGTCTTTGTGTATGTATGTGACTGAAGTGTTTAGGTCTGTGATTGTGTGTGTGTGTGGGTCTGTACATCTGTGATTATGTATGTATGTATGTATGTGACTGTTTGTATGTAGGTATGTGATAGTATGTATGTGTGGGTCTGTGTGTATATGTCTGTACATCTGTGATTATGTGTGTGTGTGTGATTGTGTGTATAGGTCTGTGATTATATAACCCTGTGTGTGGATTTTTCATTGTGTGTATATATTTGTGATTGTGTGTGTGCCTGTGATTATGTGTGTGGTCATGTGTGCATATGTATATACAAGTAGATGTGTTTAGTAGATAGCTGCCTTATTTGGTATCCTTAAATATGCCAATCCCACATAAGGATAACAAATAAGGGAGTTATCTACTAAGCAAATTTAAGAAATGGGCTTTTGAAGTTTAAATTATATAAATGAATTATATTACAGATTTTATGTGCGACCCAAGACAACTCCTCTGCGCTCAATGCGACCCAGGGAAGCCAAAAGGTTGGACATCCATGGTGTAGGGCATGGGTAGGCAATCTTCGGCACTCCCGACATTGAGGACTACATCTCCCCTTAGGCTTTGCCTGCATTATGGTTGTAAGAGCATAAAGGGCAATGCAGAGACAATGGCTGCCTACCTTGATGTAGGGGTTAGTGTTCAAGTTGGTGTATTTTAGGCATTGATGGAGTAAGGCTTAGCTAGAGATAGTAAATGTTAGAAATAGCATCAAATTTTAATGCTGGTCAGTATGGTTATGCAGAGAGTGTCACATGACCTACGAGGCATGTAAAAATTCTATTTTTATGCTTAATAGATGAAACAGAAAAACATATTTTTAATCTGTGAATCCCGCCATTAAATTCAAGATGTACATAAAAAAAAAAAAAATGACCACTACATCTAGCAGGAATTTGTGATGAAATAGTGAAAAGTCTCAATATTAAATTGCCTAAGCAGTCATCTTTTTTTAAATGGTGTGCCATGATACTGGCAAAAGGCAACTAGGGATTATAATTTTGCCCCATAAAAGGTGAACGCTGTAGTGGTTAAGTTGCCTGGTGCCAGTCAATCTTTGTCCAATTGCTTTAAATCAATTTATGTCGAACCAGCAGGACACTCGCAGCAGCACTGATTCTTCAGGGTGTGTGCCAGTGAGTGTAGTCCTTTATGAGACCTGCTTAGTTCTGTGACAACATCTGGCAAAATAAGCTGGATGCATAGCCACTCTAGGTAACTTGTTATTTAACAAACTTTTTTTTTTCCTTTACCTTTGATTGACCCTATAATCTCCTGCACCTTCTGTGTATCATTTCTGTCAGGCCTACAGCTTGGAGTAATTTCCAGGACATAATCTGGACCATACTCTGTAAAAAACTAGGGGGAGAAAAAAAGAAGAAGGAAAATTACAGTCACAGGTGATAAAGCATAAAAACCTATTGAAATAGTGTCAATTCGTTCTAAACCACATGTATTCACAGTTCACTCTCACAACCATGTTAACCAGATCATATCGGATATTGGCACTCAGCCACCAGGCTAAGCTCTGCAATGCACGTCTTAGCTCAGTACAACTAACGATAGTAGTTCCTGCTTACAAACCTTTTGCTCTTTGGCGTGGTTGTGGAGAAACTCAAAAAACTAAAACTCCCTAAAGTGCCAACAGAAAAATTACTGTAGTTTTTATAGATAGATAGAAATAACACATGAATACAAGAATGAAAGACAACGCGGTAGCAATGCTGGTAACATTCCACCAAAACACTTTATTTAAATGTTTAATTTATTGCAAGGACAGTATCAATAGTCTGAAGTGGTAAGAGCAAGATTAAGGAAGAAATATTTCTCTAACATCCCCTTCCAGAAGGGAACAGGTGAAACATGAATCCATGGCTCCCTATTATGTAAGAATTAAAGTTTATTGAATTTGGAAATCTTTTATATAATAATAATAATAAAAAGAAAGAAAATGAAGGCAGTCAGTAGATGGAGAGAAGAGGTGTATTATTTGAATCCTGAAGAACAAGGAGTTAGTATGTAAGTCACGTACAGAGGAGTCTTTGTTATTCAGGGTCTTCTAACAAAACACATATTCACCAGTGTATGAGGAGCAGGATTGATTCGGGTTTAATTAGGAGTGTCCTGCCCCCACCCGAAGGGTTTAAGAGAAATATTTACAAAACTAGCATACCTCGTGATCTGGGATTTCAGAAGACAATGTCCTGCCAAGGACAAGCGCTGTCAAATAGGTCCAGCACCTAGCAGTGTTTGGCAGATTGTAACCCCCTGACAAGTAAAAATGTGAAGTTAAAAACAAATGAAAAGCTAGATGGTGGTTGTTGGTAATACAAGAGATAAAATAAGAGAAAAAAAGTTAAAAAAAAAATAATAAAAATAAAGCACGTTAAAAGAATAGAGCAAATCAGCAAGACAGAAAAATAAAATAAACTAGTAAAATATTACAAATGAACACTGATTAGAAGAATGAAGAGAAATACGAATAATGAACATGTCTGTCTCATCACTCTACGTACAAGTGCAACAAGCAGAATTTGTGATGTAAATAACCGTGTTGTATAATAAACGGACAATCTTAAAAATCACAAGAGGCTGGGTTGACGTTACATTTACTAAAGCTACCGAAAGAGAAACCACAATGGAATTTACAATCTCACCTCCTCCCAGGATGAGGGTAGGAATTTGCCATTGGAGAACATATTTCAGACACTTGCCAATGCCCTCAGGCGTCATATTAAAAGAACACATGGGGTCCCCAGCAATTGTGTCGGCACCAAGCTGCAGAACCACTGCCTCAGGGTTAAAGGCTGTAAACACCTCTTTCAGGACACTATATGAAAATACAAAGTAATAAAATACAGGCAATTAAAGAAATCTCTGTATAAAATGAGGGACGGCTGCAGTTATTAACTGGGAAACATAAATATATTTATTCTGCAAACTCACTTAAGGTTTTACACATTCTTCTGGTTAAAGGGATTTCTCTTCCAATAAAATTTCATTTATCCTGAATACAATCAACAGGGGTCAGCTAACAGATTCCTGGAATCACCAATGTCACAAACAGCCAGACTTTAAAACAATGGAAACCGAGCAACCTTTCATTAGTCAAAACGAATAAAACGCCAAGACTGCTATGTACATTTTTCTTTAAATGTATGTCACACATTCCACAATTAGAATTACATGTCCCCTGCTACTGCCACAAAGATTTCCAAGATACCTATAGTACAGCAGGCTGAGCAATATGTTGAGCAGACAATAGATATACAAAAATCACACCTTTTAAAAACATTGCTACAACTTACAGAAACAAACTTTTTATTTTTTTACCTCTTCTGGATAAAAGGATCAAAATCACATTGGGATTCTTTTTTATTATTTCCCAAATATTATATGGTGTTTTTGAACTATGGATTATGGGAAAATAATGCCATAAAGTGAATCTAAAAATACATGATAAATGAATGCATAATAGTTGTGGCTGGGCAAAAAATGCAAACAAGATTAACACAGAGCCTGAAAGGATGAACTCCATAAGGGGAAACTACATTAGAATCAGCGGCTCAGAGGATCAGTATGTACTGAAAGGCCAGCGCAGAAGAACATTGTCTGAAAAGACAGCGTGACTTAAAGTAACACTATAGTGTTTACAAATGTGTATTGGTGACACTATAGGTGCAAAAACACCATTTAGATGACCGGCTTCTCGTGAATAAGGTATTTTGCTTACTTTTTTACCCCATACAGTATCAGTCTCGTCGCGTTTGGCCCTGCCTACACTCCGCCTCCTTGACTGAGATCCTCAGTTTTGATGATCTCAGGCAATCCAATGCTTTCCCAAAGGAAAAATGCAAAATGCCACGGTGCACCAATCAGCTGCTCAAAGAAATACACTGAATCAATGCATCTCAATGAGGAATGTTCAGCGCCTACATGCAGAGTGGGGAAGACACTGAATGTCAGTGCTGCACATCTTGCAGCACTGACAGGAAGCACCACTAGGGGCTGTCTGAGTGACTGCCACTAGAGGTGTTACTAGGCAGAAATGTAAACCGCCTTCTCTCTGAAAAGGCAGTGTTTAAATTAAAATGCCCGCATGGACATACTATATTCACCAGAACAACTACATTAAGCTGTATTTGTTCTGGTGACTAAAATGTCCCTTTAATAGAGGCAGTCTTATGTTGCAGAAAGCTGCAAATGTTTTGCTCTTTATTAAAGCTAAATAGAATTGAGCAATGACAGAATATAGTTTAAAAATATATATATATAAAAAATGGTGCAAATAGAATCTCAAATGCTGGAGTCATAAAAGTTGAAGTTATACAACAGCTAGGCACTACTCTGTGGCAACCTCTAATGTAGGTTTTTTTTTTTTAATGAAAATATAGTTCTTACCTCTCACACACCTGGTAATATTGATCATCTTTGATGCCATCTTGTAAGGGAACGTTGACACTGTAGTAGCGCCCTTTGCCTAAACCAATATCACATAAATCCCCCGTCCCTTTGAAAAAACAACAGCAAACCACCATGTAATAAAAGCGTACATCATCAATGCAAAACTATACAATTCTGTATCTTGCTAAACATTTTTATTGTATAAAAAAAAAAAAAAAACACCTAACCAAAAAATTTTTTAATTCTCTCCGAGCAGGATAAAGGGTGCTTAAGTATCATGGCTCAAATTCTAGTCCATTAATTTTGTCTCATTTCTCTAAACGACATGCAAGGAGATAAGCTATGGAGAGAGGAGACATTGAATCCGCCCCCTCTCCCCACCTCCCCCGGATAACGAGTGATATATAGACTGAATGGAAACTACATTACCTGGCAAAGTGGTCATTTGCCACTGTGTCATTAACGCAGTCCCCTCTTTTTTCTTACCAACATGCCAGGAGAGAAGTTGTGGTTTGTAATTCAGTTTGCATAAGTACATTTAAGAACTCCATAGTATATCTCACAATAATATACTGATATTGTGTCAGCATCACAGGTCCAGGGCAATAAAACACAAAGAAAAGATATGCCTTCCAAGAGCTCTGTAGATCTGAGAGTCATTCTAACCAAATTCTGCAAAATGCTCTTTCTAAAGGCTAAGTATCCCTTGCTTGGATCGACTGTTTCTAACACAGACTTGTGATGGGTCCTGGTCAAAGCCAGACATCAGGGATCTTGTTTTAAATTGCCTACATCTCGACACAGCTCTTCCTCCTTGAGGAGCAACAAAGAGGTTATCAGAATACTCACTTTCCAGGCCAAGACAAGGAACTGTGTATTAGGATGTCACAATGTATGTTATTTCCTGGACTGTTAATTTGGTCTGACCTTGAACATGCACAATTCTGTGGATCTTTAGATGTGTTCCCAAGTCACTTGATATCTGTCTTCTCAACATCTTATGATGTTTGGAAAAGTTGTGATATTACCCCATAAGTGCAGTTACAATGCCATCATAATAAAATTAATATGACTTCCTTTACAAAGTAATTTTCTCCACACACTAGGTTTTTACCTTATTTTCATCTGTAGTACAAGGTTACTCTTCCCATACAAATGATACATGTTAATCTTTTATGAAGTGTACAGGGTACATGATTATTCATATGAGTACCCCCTTGGTCTTTTTCTGAAGTAGAAGGAAAAAAGGTCTTACCAGGAAAGAAGCCTGGAGAAAATTTGTGTAGAGAAACTGTCATCACTTTAGAAGTGAAACTAAATGCATCTTCGACACCTATGGAAAGGAAAAGATATTCATGTGTCACGTTTATCTACTAATCAATATATAAATCGACATGCAAACTGAAAGAACTGAAGTAAAGTTCATAGGAACAGTAACAGCAAACAAAGTACACACTATATAGTATTACAGAGTAAACAAAATAATGTGAAACTCAACACAAGGGTTTGTCATGCCCAACTTTATAGATTAATAAACGTTCTTTTATAGATACAGTACAGATGCTTCCGATATCTTTCTGATGATTACAATTATTAAACAAAAAGTAATTGACAGAAATGATGATGATGACGACGACGACGACGACAACAGGTGAAAGCCCTACTCAAATGTGATTACAATCAAGGAGTTGTACTCCAACATCACTAACGAAGTGATATGTTCCAGGCTGTACAAGGATGTTTTGTGCATGCTCACTTTATACATGTACTTCTGGAAACGCCTTCACAGCTTTCTGTGAAAGACTTAATGTTGCTGGTATGTATATTTATGTAAGCCATGAATTGAGCAACTGTCGGTTTACCAGTTTGATCAGCAGTTACAAATTTAATTTTCTCTTGAACTTAACTACTTCTGAATGCCACCCACTTATGCGTCAGTGTGGTTTCTTTATCTTAAAAAATCATGTCACAGTTACAACATAGAAAAAGTGAAGGAAAAAAAAAATAGACTCCAGTCCATCATGTTTAGCCTTTTTCTGATATCTCTGCGAAAAAACTAAACTGAAGTCATTTCCGATAATGCCACAAAACAGGGAGCGTTGCTTTTTGCCTATAAAATGGCAACCAATTTTCTCCTTGGATCTGCAAACGGTTATCCCACGTATTAACCCTTATATCCTTGGATATTCTGTTTTTCCAAAAAAGCATCCAGATGGTGTTTAGAAATTTGTACACAATCTGATAAAACAATCTTTTTACACAGAAAATCTACAACTTTAATGTTCTTACAGTACAGAAACATTTTCTTTGTTGGACTCAAAATTTCCTTTTTTCACGTCAAAATGAGGGATCTCTTGTCCTTTGAACAGTCCTATTATCGACTGTAAGCTCATTTGAGCAGGGTCTTCTTTAACCTATCGTTCCTGTAAGTTTTCTTTTAATTGAAATGAAAAGGGAGATATTAACTTACCTGGATCGCGGCAGCTTGTCGCCCGATAGTCCCAGAAGCCGGGTCCCAGCTGGTGCGGCATTCTAAGGGACGCCGGAGTCCCGTTCTTACTGAAAAGGGGCACACTGCCCACATTAAAAATGGCGCTGGGGTGCGTGTAACGACATGATGTCAATGCACACGCACGTTTTGTGGTCAAAGGCCATGTACTGATCAATCACAGCACTGAGAGGCATATTTAAACTCTGGAATGAGTGCCCTGTCGTGGTTTCCACTTGTTGGTTGTCAGAGAGCACGTTCTTGGTAATATTTTCAGTTTTTTGACTTTCCCTACTTCTGCTATCCTGACCTTTGGCTATTATATTCGTATTGTCTCATTCTGTATCCCCGACCTTGGCTTGTTATTTGACCACTCTCTTTTACGTTAAGTCCGGACATTCTAAGGCCCAGTATACGTTGTTTGGGTTTAATATAATTGTGTGTGTTTGGTCATACAGTAGTCGTGACACCAGCACCGAGGTTTGTTCCCACTTTGCCAACAACTCGCATCCATTACATTGCATATACATAGTTTTGTTACACATTTTCACTTGTAAATGTTCATGATTTTACCAGCTATACATGAATCTAACCCTCTCTGTTGAAGCCCACTTGTTGGACATTCCAGTAGGATCTAACACAGACTCACAGAGGAGTTGCTGTACAGAAATTTGTTTACTTAAATGCGTTTTTCTTTATTATCTCTATGCTAAAGCAGCGGTTATCTCTCTTACTCAAGTAATCTCGATTCCCTCATGACTAAGAGTATTTCATCCAAAAAGAGGTCCATGGCAGTAGCTGAATTTCACCACCCTCTCTAGAAGTGATAGAAGTACATGGGGAGTCCATGGGTGCCAGGTCATGCTTCAGTGCCAAACAGTTTAATCACTTTGTCACCGGCAGCCTGCAACTTGACCACCAGAACCATCAACGCCATTTCATTTTACACTGGGGATTGAAGCAGTGATTGGCTAACATACTCAGACTATCACCGTCTGCTCCCCAAAGTATGGCGTGAAGATGAGCATTAGCCTGCCTCTGCCATTTTGTCACTGGAACTAAACAGCTCTGCTAAATGGTGATTAAACTGTTAAACAGTGAAGCAGGACACAGCTTTCACAGACTCCAGGCACCATAGCCACTTCAAACCAGTGAAATGGTTATGGTGCCTTTAAGGAAGAGTAAATAACACTTGATGACAGTTACAAAAAAAAAAAAAAAAAAAAAAAAATGGAAATCCAAAATAAAAGAAAGACTGAGAACACTTGCAATTAATGGAACAAAAAACAAATTAAAATATTCCATGCAAGTTAGACACTACTTACCATCTCCATGATGTAAATCCATATCTATGTACAAGACTCTGTCAAATTTCTGCCTCAGCTTTAAGATCCCCAGGACAGCATCATTAAGGTAACAAAATCCAGATGCTTCATCTCTATGAGGAAAAACAATGCTAATGTAATTAAACAATTATCTAAGTAAAGTAATTACATTTAGAATTCCTATAAAGAGCAGGCTGTTTAACCCATCATGTGTTAGGCTGGCTTAGCAGCCACGTAGCTGTGATCCATCAATTATAAGTAGTATATCTGCAAATACTGGAATAGCCTTGAGTTGCTGTCACACATCCTCTGGAAAGTATACACTTTTCTAATATAAAGAGAAAGAGAGATCTCACAGCTTACCAGCTTAAGTACTATGCTACAAGCCAAGCCCTAAAACTTTCTCTCCACTGCAAGCTATAGGAGGTAAATTTCCATTTATCAGAGCTAGATTTTCACTCGCCAATGCTAAACATACAGAGATTAACCCTTTTACTGCCAGAGGTTTAACTAGTGTGTAACATAGTTCGGGGTTGGCTAATGTCAATTCTTTGAAAAATAGGCTTCTGACACCAGCATGCACTTCGCCCGACAGCCACTGATGGAGCAACGCTAAGAGGCTCCCTCCAGGTTTTTAGAATTTTGCAGGTAAGATCTATATTCATTAATAGCTTCAGCTATGACAGGGGCTCGATAAGCCAATTATTATATTTTAAACTAACACCCTGCTACATGTGGGGTCTGGTGATTGGAGGGCACATCTTCAGGCCTAAGAACTGCAGCTTTTGCAAACTGTTTTAAGATATACCCCCAATTAATACATGCATGGAAATGTATGTATGTATTTATTAGGGATGTATCTACTGAACAGTAATTGCTATTTTCCTACTATGGGCAGTGGAGTGTTCCCTTATGCAGATGCTGTGAATCTCTGCTTGATTAGGATATTCAAATTTTAAACAACTTTATTCAGCTGATGTACTTTGGGTGGGCAAGGAGAAGGTTTGGCTGATGGGGCACTCTCTTTGAATTTTGCGTGGCCTAGGGACACAAAAGGGGTTTTAACCCCTCACCTCAAATATGGAGTAGTGAAATAGTGGAGTCTGCTCCAGTTTGGTAATCTTTGCACAGTATCCACTTTAGTAAAATGAAGTCGTTATAGTGCTTAAAGTGGATCTTTAAGGGGCAAACTTATTAAAAAGTCTCAAATAATGCCTACTTCTTAGCATGATGCCAGCCCCCAGGCCAGTTGAATGCAATGCGGGTTTTTCCTTCGTTAAGCTGTTCAGCAGCGGTTATTGTGGCTCCTCCAACAGCAGCAGCATAGTCATATATGCCTTCAGTGATTGGACAATCGTAACCTGGAGACATTACAAAACTATATAAGTCAGAAGTCATGGCAGCATAGACAAATAGTAGATTAGATCTCAATGTACCCATTTCAAAATACCCAGACAGTACACAAAGTAAGCCATAATTTGATCCCTATATGCATTTTAGAATTAAAGGACCACTCTAGGCACCTAGACCACTTCAGCTTAATGAGGTGGTCTGGGTGCCTGGTACAGCCAGGGTTAACCCATTTTTTCATAAACATAGCAGTTTCAGAGAAACTGCTATGTTTATGAATGGGTTAAGCCTTCCCCTATTCCCTCTAGCGGCTGTCTTATTGACCGCCACTAGAGGCGCTTGCGTGATTCTCGCTGTGAAAATCACAGTGAGAGCACGCAAGCGTCCATAGGAAAGCATTGATAATGCTTTCCTATGTGACCGGCTGAATGCGCGCGCAGCTCTTGCCGTGTGTGCGCATTCAGCCGACGGGGAGGAGAAGAGCTCTCCGCCCAGCATGGAAAAGGTAAGTTTTAACCCCTTTCCTCTCCCCAGAGCCGGGCGGGAGGGGGTCCCTGAGTATGTTTTCTTGGCACTGTAGTGGTCCTTTAAGGATTAACCTTAAATGGGCTCTTGGGCCCAGGGGCCCCAGAACTATGAATTTGTCTGGTCGCATTAATCATCACTATGTAAAGAATGTGGGTGAGCGAACTGGTAACCTGCCCAGGGGCTCTTTGGTTCTTAATCCTTCTCTGGTTTAATGGCATCTTTGTAAATACATGAGTAGATCCTACAAAAGTACAATTTAAAAAGCTGTCAAAATTAAGATTCTGCAAAATTAAGATTCTGCGAGCTATATATACATATATATATATATATATATATATATATATACATATATATATATATATATATATATATATATATATATATATATATATATATATATATATATATATATACACACACACACACACACACACACAGTATATACCAATAAATCACATGTATTAGTGAATTAAAAACTAGAATGTGGCCCTCTCTCCATTGTAGAATGCATCCTGTAAGGTAACTTTTGTGCATCATTAAATTTTTTATAAATTAGAACACAAATGAAACTTAAATCAGATAAATACACAATTAGAGTTCCACTTTCCTTGAAGTTGCCTCTGCTATCAAAGAATGCGTAGACAACCAGCTTCTCAAATAGAAACCAATAGCTGCAGTTCTCCTTCCATGTTGCCATCAGCACATAGCATAGGGAATAGTGGTGTGGTCAATAAAACATATGTGAATTACTATTAATGTAACGTGTGTGTGAATGCCAAGGTGTGACAGTAGCTTACTAGGTGAGATTGAGTATTATTAATTAGGCATGTGGGGGAGTTTCTAACAATGTTGTATGTAACAGTTAACTAATTAATTGAGTGGATGTTGTTTCTAAATAAAATGTGTGTCTCCCCTAATTTCTGACCCCGGCTCCTTGATTCCAGGGACCTGTATTAAACGTACACTGCATACAAAGCACCAGTGCACAGTTTATGGTCCTTTGTCAGTCTCCCAGCACATAGTTGCTTATAAATGCAGTGATTGGCACAAAATGCTACAGTTATAGTCCTGCCTTTTTGCATGTGACGTTTATATATATATATATATATATATATATATATATATATATATATATATATATATATATATATATATACACATAGACTAAACAAATATTTGTGTATATTATACTGCATAGGAGAAACATGGTGCAAGTCTTCTAGCACATGAGCCCATCCCAGGGCCCTATTTAGCCTTGTACTGCAGAGAGCCCCAGATGGATTTTTTTCCCCCCCAAGTAAGTGGGTTAATCTCATAAGAGCAGACATTAGGCTGTTAGAGTAGGACCTGCCAAAGATGGGGTACATTGACGTTGTGGCAGGCTTATGCAATGAATGATCATATAATGTAACTAAACCCCCATTATTTTTGCCTAGATTAGGTGTTTAAAAATAAAAATAAAAATCTGTCAACATTGAAGTTGCTGTTTAGTGAATAGGTTAGTGCGCTGGATCTTGTGTATTGTATAATGTGTCCCCCAGCAGCACCCCATTTATGCATGTTTAGGTGAGTGCAGCCTCCCCCTGTTTCATATATATATATATATATATATATATATATATATATATATATATATATATATATATATATATATATATATATATATATATATAAATAAATATAAATAAAACATATATACAGGGCCGGACTGGCCCACCGGGATACCGGGAAATTTCCCGGTGGGCCGCGGCACCTGGGGCTGAGCTGACAGCCCCATTCAGAACTGATCAGGCTCCTGTGATCCCGGCCGGCCATGTGTGAGCTGTGCGCCGCACAGGGTCCCATGGGAGCAGGGGGACCCTGGCAGCCGGCACAGCTCACTAAAAAAATTTGATGAAAGTCCACAAGAGGGACTGAAACGTTGGTCTTCTCTTAAATATTTCAATAAAAGTTACGTTTTAAGGAAATCCGAGAGTGCAGCCAACTATTTCAATTGTATATATATTTCTAAAAACACCCTACATAGCACAATGACTTATGGGGCTGGCATAATATTATTTCCAGGGCTGCATTATCCCGTGGGGGTGGTGTGGTGTGGGTGTGTGTGTGTGTATATATATATATATATATATATATATATATATATATATATATATATATATACACATACACACACACACACACACACACACACTTTGTTTTTTATTAACATAATGTTTATTGCATTAAAATGGATTGATTCCAGTGTTCCTTAAATACACACATGCTATGGTCTGCATAAAAGATAATTGTCTAAAATTAAGCCATTTTAGACTTTAGCTGTCTAAGTGGTATTTTTAGTATGATTAATTACTAAAATGAAACAAACAACGTCACCCAAAAATATATATTTAGCTTACCCAATCCATATTCAAGGGTCTCTGGCTCATCGTTGTCGCCCTCTTCGCTCACCTTGCGAAGATGTTGCAAGTATGAGTCAGTGTGAAATGTAGCCATCTCTTCCATTGTGGCAACTTTAGGCTTTACTACCCTGTAGAAAGAAAAAAAGAGAGAAGAGATTTCACAAATACACTAGTGAGAGAGACTTTGTGAATTCATGTTCCAAAATGAGAGTTGATCTTCTAACAAAGTCAAATTGAGAAAGGGAATACATAAATATTACAAAATATTATTTTCCACAGAAGCCACTAGTTACCAACATAGCAAAATGTATAAGGACTATCTAGATTATGCTGATGTATATTTCAATTACTTTTGAGAGTTCAATTTAAAGGAACACTCCAAGCACAATGAACACTACAGCATGATGTAGGCGTTACAGAGCCAGGAGTGCCCTGGTGTCCGACGAGCGCCCATCCCTCTCTGCACCCAGAAGCTCTTTGCCTGAGCTAAGCCCAGTGGTGCACTGCAGCGCTTAGCTTAAGAGAGCTAATGGAAGCTACCTTCTGGCTCTCGATGCAAGAAGAAGACTGGCTTGGACAAGTGTTATGACATTCCTGGCACCATAACCACTACACCACAATGTGGTTTTTAATTATGGTGCTTGGTGTGCTCCTTTAAGCAGAAACTAATTTTCTTAGTTGAAAGTATACTGAGCAATAATTTTTTCATTAGAATGTATTATACACACCCCTTTGTATTGTAAGCAATTCTTTTTAAGGGATTTAGAGTAATAAAGAAAATTATTGACAACTTTATTTACCGTACTACATTGGCAAATGAGTCAAGGTTTTTTTCTCCCCTTAATTAACTGGTCACTACCCGACAGTTTCTGGTTTAATAAATTACCATAACTGGGTCAAGTTAAGAAAAAAAAAAATAATCACAGGGTTAATATGACACCCAAGGTGTTATGGAGATAGTGATTACATTATGGAAATGCAAAAGAAAAATACAAGGAGAGGTCAATCCAACTCTAGTGGCTGTCATACTGACAACGAATAGATTGGTTTCTGAAGCACTGACCAAGTAAAACTTTAAATTCTTTCCTATGGGTAAACTTGCCGGGCATGCGCATCAGGTACCCAATACCAATATATAAGAGTCATTGGATTGGATCATGCATCCTCTATGATGATATTGAGTGAGGTGGAGGGGTAAGCAGAAGAAAAGGTAAGTAAAAGGTTCATTTTTATTTTTTTTATTCAAATAGCTAAGGAACCTGAACATACCTAGGGACATGGACACTGAAGTGTTAGGAATACAGGTTTGTATTTCTAAAACATCAGTGTTCCTGTAAATCCCTTAGCTAACATACTGTGCCCTAAAAAGCATTAAATATACACAAATTCAGTTCAGGCAGCAGATTTAAGCTACATTAGAAATATACATAATGTACCCTGTCATTCTTATGCAGTTCTCACCTCATATATTTCAGCAGTCCATATGCTTCTATTAATGAGTGTACCATGCTGGCCTGGAATGCAGTGAGAAAATCATTACCAAAAACACATTTGATATTTTTATCCCACTAAAATTCTAAATAAACATGACAGAAACAGCCTGTTCTTAAAATAAAAACGGTCTAAATATGTTGTATTGACACAAAGCAACTGTCGTGTTTAAACGCTGAAGTATTCTTTATTTCTTTTCTACAAACACATTGTCTCTGCTACATAATCATAAAAAATACTCTTTCATTACTTTACAATATATGACTCATGTTAATGGCCCCTCCACACATTTGCAAGACTAAAGGCACCCAGGCCACTTATCTCACCACTTTTGTAGAAATGGCAATGTATACTGTGGAGGGTTATACACACCTCAAAGAGGGGTTTCTGCTCCAAAAGCCAAGTAAAGCTCACTCACACGAAGTCAAAGTCCATGAGGATGTTTAAAGGACCACTCTAGGCACCCAGACCACTTCAGCTTAATGTAGTGGTCTGGGTGCCATGTCCTTCTAGGGTTAACCCATTTTTTTTATATACATAGTTTCAGAGAAACTGCTATGTTTATAAATGGGTTAATCCAGCCTCTAGTGGCTGTCTCATTGACAGCCGCTAGAGGCGTTTGCGTGCTTCTCACTGTGAACATCACAGTGAGAAGACGCAAGCGTCCATAAATGCTTTCCTATGAGACTGGCTGAATGCGCGCGCAGCTCCTCCCGCGCATGCGCATTCAGCCGAAGAGGAGAGCTCCCCGCCCGGCGCTGGAGAAAGGTGAGTGTTTAACCCCTTCCTCTCCCCAGAGCACGGCGGGAGGTGGTCCCTGAGGGTGGGGGCACCCTCAGGGCACTATAGTGGTCCTTTAACTTTTCGAAATGCTGTTCATGGGAAAGCACTGAATTCAATGAGAAGCATTTGACTTGTGATGCATATGCATGCCAAGCCCATATCAATGCCTCTTTTAGTAGCATTGGACTGGGTGACAAGCTATGAAGCAACAACTCCAGAATGACGTAGAGGGAGGTGGAGAGGGCAGCAAGCCAAATGCTTTTTTTTTTTTAAACTAATTTAAATTTTTTTATTTTTTTTGCATTAAAGAACCGCTAAAGTCACCCAGACCAGTTCATCTCAATGGCCTGTTGTTTTAACACTGCCTTTTTGTTTTTTTTGTTGTTGAAAAAGCAATGTTTCCATTCCAGGGTTAAGTACACCTCTAGTGGCTGCCTTCCCAACAGCCATTAAAGGCACTTCCTCCTCCAGAACCGAGTCAAATATGTCCTGCGTTCAAATGTTGTTCATAGCTGCATTTGACTGGAGAAGTGCAGCGTTCGGCTGTGCATGTGTAGCTCTAAAGCAATGCTTCTCTTTGAAATTGCTGAAGACATCAGCAAAACTTCCACATTTCATATTGTTACCATCAACAATCACAACAGAAGGTAACAGCAATGGAGGGACAAGCTAGGGTTAAGGACTACGGAACGAAGAATAGTCAGGAACAAGCCAAATTCAAAATAGCAAGAATTTAAACACTGTAGAAATGCACTCTTGAATCACCACGTGGGAAACCACGACAAGGCAGGGCATGTACAGAGAGAAGGGTTTAAATAGCCCTAAGTAACAAATGATTTGTCTGTGCCATTCCTGAAATGCTAATCTGTGCAAAGCCGATTTCGCAGGAATGACACAAGTGAACATTTGTCAGAAATGATGGAGTTCAGAGGAATCAGTGTCACATATAACACTAGAATGTTGCTGGAATGATAACATGTGGCAGTCTGTGTCACAAATGACCCCGAGTGACACACCAAAATCATCACAGGTACCAAGACAGAAACTCAGGCAGGGGAGATGTGGCTAGGACTACATAATGTGATTTAACTCCTAAATGACATTCAGCAGTTATACAACAGGGCCATGATCTATACACCAAAAGCACTTAAGCTAATCTCAATGAAGTTGTTATGGTGCTAGTAGGTCACAGACACCATCTTACTTTAAAGAAGTGTCCCTTTCGGGGGTTAAACCACTTACAATCTGTTTAACCCCAAACTTGTGAAGATAGGCTTTTCACTAAGTTTTATAAACAAGAATCTAGTGATAAAATTAGAGTATCAGTAGAGCTCAGTTGGAGGCTTCCTAATAAAAGCCTTGGACCATCGGAAAGGCAGTTTTGTGCTAAACCGTTAGTAAATGCTTTAAATCCTATAGGTGAGTTGGCATCAGGGAGTTCCAGGCACCGTAACAATTAAATTTTATGTGCCCAGACTGTCCCAATAACAGCCTGCAACAGATGATTATAGGGCATTAAACAGAGCAGGAGATAGAAAATGTTAAAGTAAACACACTGTGCTGTAAGATCTGGTTGAAAGATACATTTTTTGTTCCCCCACGAGGCTGTGAGTCACAGCCAGGGGAGGTGTGGCTATAGCTGCATAAACAGAAACAAAAGTGTGCTTCAGTGGACTTTAAAGTGTTAATTTTACACGGGCATATAGATTAAAGGTTCAAGCCCTACTTTACCAATCAAAAGTTTCAGAAATGATACACACATCTCCGGCCACAGCATATTCACCTTTATACCATTTGTTGTATACCATCTTCCCACGCATCCTATTAATCACTATTGACTCTGTTACCTATCCCTGCTATGCCCCTTTCTCACAGCAACAGTTTTGACTACAGTTCTCAGCAAGCTGAGCATAGTGACCATTGTCATTGCAGCAGTTCATTCCCAATGATGTTCAACCATCAGAATTCAATATACCAGATGGGAGATCATTTATCACAGATACAGTCCAAATATTGTGTTTTGTAAATACCGAGTGACTGCAATCAGAAAAAAAATACACTAAAATTGGGCAGATTCTACTAATAAAATATAGAAATTATAGATTTATTCTTAGCTATCAACCATCTAAGACCTCCTATTCAATGTACTGTCAGCCCACTTGTTATCATCTATCCCCTGTGTAACGTGCATTCCTTTAGAACACTGCGGTTTCATTCCATGTATCTATGTATTCTCTCCCCGTCTCCCTCACCCTCCTGGGCACTTTGCTCAGCACGGTATCGCACAGCTCCACATAATCGGCGCTATGGATGTAAACCGGGGGAAATGAATCCTCCATCCTGTCCGGCTCGGTATGCAGCTAGCAGTCTGAACCAGTCTATGGTCTGAACTACTCCAGAGGGAGCGGCGCTCAAAACAGTCCCCGAGCAACAAAGAACAAACAACAAAGGTTCCGAGCTCATCAGCTCTACAACAAAGACTACACACAGAATGGTTTATTTTATCACATTCACACATTAGTTATTTTTCTCGTTATATTAAAAAAAAAAAAAAACACAATACCCTGTTCTTTATAAACGTATTTTGTTGGGGTTAAGTTGCAATAATTTAGTATTGTTTTAAAATGTTCACCTCTAAATGATATAAATGGGATGTAAAATATGTGCATCATGTTATAGGTTGCATATATCAGGGCTTGACAAGTTTGTTTGGAATCTAGGAGCCAGCTAAAAAAGTTAGGAGTCGGTTTTTTATTTAAACTAAGAAAGTTTCATTTTCAACAAGAAAAATGCAATTCTTAAAGGGACACTAAAGTCACCAGATTCACTATAGTTTAACATAGTTGTTTTGGTGTCTATAGCCTGTCCCTGTAGGCTTTTCAATGTAAATGCTGCCTTTTTGTAGGAAAGACGGTGTTTACATTGCTGCTTAGTAACACCTCTAGTGAAAGTCACTTATACAGCCACTAAAGGTCTAGGTCAGAGCTGCACAGTGTGCAGCACCTACATTCAGGCTCTGCATGGAGGTGCTGAATGTTCCTCATAAGATGCATTAATTCAGTGCATCTCTATGAGGAGATGTTAACTTGCACAGTGTGTAAACAATATATATTATTCTTGTCCTCAATCACAACTTAATTGCATACATAATTAGTAAGAAACCTACAATTTTATGTTTTAAGCCATTTAATAAACTATTGAACTATTGAATTTTTTTAAAATATATTTTTACCAGTGGGGTTTTCAATGAATGGCAAAGAGCAGGGCATTAATAGTAAAGATGGGTCTCATAGCAACCATAAGTGTAGGTTAAACAAAGAAAGAAACATCCCAAGATATGCAGGTCTCCGGTAATATGAGAGAAAAAAGAAAGCATTGAACTTATATATACAATACTTTTCAAGTATTTAAAGCTTCAGTGGAACTCCATTCCAATCAATAATTTTAGGTAATTTTAGGTCAGCGGCAACAAAGTGAGGGGACACGCCTGTGAGGATCTCAGACACTGTACGGAGGAACATGATTACATTGGAGTGTGATCCTACAAGGTGGAGACAATCTAGGCACAGCTGAGTTTACCGTGCATCCATATCCAGTATTTTAGCCGATTTAGTTATTGTAGGCCATTGAGAACAAAGAGAGGGGCCATAGGCTGACTACATTCTGCAGAAAATGGAGTGTGTTAGTCTGCCATAAATGCCTTAGCATGGATCTTTCACATTTACTTACAACTTTACAATCTACCTTCAGAAAAATAATATATTATACAGTGAAGAGTATTCTATATTTAACGATGAGCAATGGTAAGATAACATTTATTTTAATGCAATAATGCATATCCTGTAAGTCTTATATTGGTGATCTATTAATCTGTCCACTTTTTTGTCTGACCTCTGTTTTTCGCGTGCATTCAATAAAAAACAAAAGAGGAATTAAATTCAAGCTAAAACATCCAAAGCGGCATTGTCACTGTTTGGGGACTTTGCCGAATTAGCAAAGTGCACTGATGGTGACATCGCCGCAGGGAATCTGGTCACTTGGGGAGTCAAGTAAATGTGTGTTTACTTACCTGAACCCGTATATTGCGGGCGCCACCATCTTGACCCTCTTTGGAGCCAACATCACTGCTGTAATCTGGCACATATGCCGATAGTATAGCATTGAGGTCTATGCAGGATTCTGCAAGACTTCGGGATCCTCCATAGACAGCCAATTTCCTGCAGCCATCGCTGAGGTCTGCTGTCGGGATTGACTCTTAAACCATCTAAGTCTAAGAAAGTCAGGTGGAGGAGAAATACAGAGACAAAATAGTCCCAGTCTTTGTCTCTGTAAATCTATTGACTAGATTGGAATTTCTGTGAAATTCTAGCACAGTCAATGTGAGTATTTCATAAAGATTTTATATTTGTGAAATACTAATTTTTCAGGGTGGTGGGGTGACTGTGCCACTTTAAAAGACACATTACTGCTAGTATTATTGCTGTGGAGCTGTGTAACACACTAAGACACACCAGCAATATGGAGTTCTTTAGGAGAGAAAAGAGAGACAGAGGAAATTGGGTCCAAAATAAGGACTGTTCTTCTTAATTATGGACACGTGGGAGGTATGGGTCAGTGTGCATGAAAATAGTGGCATGTGTGGGCATGGCGATAACCTCCCATAGCTTTCAAGTGCACTACTAGAGTAGGGATGGAGTAGGTTGTGTTAGGTAGAAGGACATGGTCAAAAAGTAAAATTGTTTGCTCTAAAATGGGAATTGATGGATCTGTAATGAAAGGGGTTGTTCTTATGTTATGTACTAAGAGTTCAAGAGCCAATATTAAAATTACAGCAGGCACCTCTGCTACGTCCTATTGGTGATACTACATTTGTCAGAGAGGAAGCCCAAATTCATAACCCTCATTGACGGGTTAGAATATAGTGCCATGACAGCTGTTATGAAGGGAGCTGGGAGATCATGTCTGTGTAGTGTTGCTTCCACATGTTGCCAATGGAGGTGATCAAACGTCTTCTTGGTATCCAGCACCAAGAGAAGACTAGCTGTTCATGTAAGCTTGGCCAGATCTATGAGATCTAAAAACATTGTTATCACTAGGTTGACATGAAGGTACAAATCCCACCTATTCAGGAGCTACCAGGTGTGGGAGTAAAGCTTTTAGCCTCGTCGCCAGTAGTTTGGTATACAGTTGTATGTCTGCATTCAGCAGGGAGATTGGTCTGAAGTTGGGGCTACCCGATGAATGAGGCTTTCCCAGCTTTGGAAGTGTAATTATGTTGCATTCAAAGTACCACTATAGCTTAATGAAGTTGTCTGGGTGCTAGGTCCAGCTAGGATTAACCCTTTCTTCTATAAACATAGCAGTTTCAGAGAAACCCTAGAGCCCGGCGGGAGGGGAACCCTGAGGGTGGGGGCACCCTCAGGGCACTGTAGTGCCAGGAAAACAAGTATGTTTTACTGGCACTATAGTGGTCCTTTAAGGATTTCATCTGGGCATGAGCCTGTTTGGAATATGCGATTAAAGAGGTATGTCAGGTGAGGTACTAATTGTGGTGGAAATTTTGCATAGTAAGAGTTGTGAAACCCATCCAGCCTCAGTGATTTATGTTTTGGGAGATATTTTATCGCTCTATGGACTTCCGTTGCTGCATATGGACTGGTCATAGTGGAGGCCTAGGAATTTGTAATAGTGGGGAGTGTGATCCTGTCCAAGAACATTTTAATATCTAAAAATGAGATTTGGGTTTGTGTGCAGTCGTTGCCTATGTTGAGGCGGGCAGAGTAATAGCTAGCCATTTCATTGACAATATCTTTTGGGCTAGTGGGTTTTACTCCACTCTGTGTGTTTAAATAAGGCATTTTAGTTTGTAAGAAGTTCTCCTTACGGTGTGAGGCAAGCAATTTCCCTACCTTGTTGCCAGGTTCATAATAGTGCTAGCCCAGACATTTAAGGGGCATTTCAGTGATTTTTAATTGGAAAATATGAAGTTCACTCTTTACCTGTGCTATTTTTTTGCTGATGCTAGGGGAAGGTTGTGATTTATTAAATTTTACTAGAGTTGTCACTGTTCTTTTCTGGCCTCGAATTTCCCTCCTCCGCACTGCTCCCAGTCTAATAAGGTGGCCCTTCACCACTGACTTATGTGACAGCAATACATAATTTGGAGAGTTTAGCAGACCATAGGTAACCCGACTGGTTACCTCCGCTATTACCTTCTTTCAGCCACTCTGGAACCATCAGCACAAGTAAATACCCATTCCCCCCAGTAACCAGACAAAACATAGTCCTGGGAGTCTACTCGACTTATTTAATGGGACATGGTACAGTCAATTTATACACAGCCTGGACACAGTCAAACCCGCCCAGAACAGTCCCACAGCTCGACAGGGGATGGCTTACAGATAGCCACCTCCCGCTCTTGGAGATACAAACAGAAAAACAATTCCATCCATACAGTAATACACATAACATACACTTGTGAAAACTTAGGGTGCTCCGCTTCCCGGTAAGGGAATAGGGAAACACCCTGGATAGCTCATGGTCCCAGCCATGATCCCTGCAAATAGCGGAGCTATCAGATGTACAGAGCCCAAAAAATCATTTTATAAAGTCTGGGCTTGAGGCTCCGTACATACCCGCAAATAGTTCCACAGAATCACTTGTTCAAACTTCGCGCCTATACCACACAGCAACCAATAAGCGCCCAGGGAGTGGAGGCGTTCCGGGCTAAGCCCTTTAACTCGCGCCTTCCTATCGGGAGAAAGGGCTCGAACCAAGTTTGCATAGTAGCTCCTTCTCCCATTGGTCGGTACGGACTTCCAGGTGGCCAGCGGGACTCTGTGGCTTTGACGCCGACTCATAGCTCAAGAAGGTCTGCTAGGGCTTGCGTCCCTTTTCGGTGGATATCTCCACTTAGCTAGCACTGGAGAGAGCGCTGCTTGGGCAGCTACTAGCCTGGACACGTAGCTCCCGGGTAGGGAGCCCCTGCAGTCACTGTCTGCCTCGCTGACCATCTGGCTGCAGGCATGAGTTTCCTGGATCTCCTCCTGACAGTGATTATAGCTCCTGTAGGAGCAGATAGGGAGATCCCCAGCATGATGACCTGAAAACAAAGAGCTCGCAAGTGAGTGGGCATGGTACTCCGTGACGGCATTCCATCACAGAGAGCTAGAGGGCTGTGCATTATCTTAGAAAGAGTATGCAAGTCTTTTTATAAAGTTTCATTGAGCCTCCATACGTCTGGTCCCCTAGGTGGATGAAAAGGTGCCTATCACTGGGACATGGTCAGACCATGAGATTGTTTCTATCTAGCATTGGTTAGATTGTGTAGGGCTCCCCC